TTTATTTAACTGCTAATTGATTATTTTTGATGTGTTTCTTTTAAATGGTTTTACATCAAAGCAAAACGTGGTTCGGGCCATTTCATAAAATCCATATGCAATCCGTGTCAGTACAACTCGGCCAATAGCTTGCAGGGAACAGCACAGTGATATTTGCTGATTGGTTAGACCACAACGAAAAACGTGACTTCTCCAGAAAGCTCCGGAAAAAGAACAGCAAAGGATAAAGAATGAGCCTGAAATTGAGAAAAGAGGCGTTTATACTCCTGATGAAACCACAGCGAACTGAAACGGCCAAACACGTTACTGCGCATGCTCTGTCGGACTTGGAAAGGTCCAGCCAATCGCACGTGAGAGGCAGCGGAGTGATATTAGTATTAGTACGCTTCAAAGTAAAAGAAGAGAAAAGAGCTCAGATATGAATGTTATTTTACTCTTTTACTTAAATAAAAATTCACTGATAACCTGACAAAATATGACACTTCTGTTATTTTACAGGAGGAAATGCTGCTAGGATAAAATCAACATGATGATCGTTGTGGAATATTGTGGCTCACAAACAACTTTATAATTGCAAATTAATTATATTTGTGCATTTTTGTGATTTGTGCTTTAACATTAACTTCTTACAGTTCATGACTGATGGGAGAAAATAAAAACCACCCCAGATTTCTCCTCAGCACTGTGGCCAGGTTCACAGACTCAGTCCTGCTGTAACGACTCTTCACCTCGAACAGCACAGTGAGCTGTTTGCTGTGTCCTGTGGGCTTTGTTCGTTTACACCCTTTGTGGGGTTTTTGTTATTATATATTTTTGTGATGAACATGGTAAAGTACCTTGGGCTGTAAATACTGATGTGTTTGACGTAGTTTGCCTTAAAATTGTCATCCATATAAAAATAAAATACTTCATTTTTATTTTGAAAATCACACAACGCAAAAACCAAAGAAACCGCAGTGCTGCTCGTTCCTGATTGGACGATTAGACTTACTCTCAGCCTGACCAATGAGCGAGCAGCAGGTGATTATATAAAGGCGTAGTCTCTGCCGGAGTCCATGTTTTGGCGGGAATAGCACGAAGTCAGTTACAAAGATGTCTGGACGCGGAAAGAGCGGAAAAATCAGAGCGAAGGCGAAGTCCCGGTCCTCCCGGGCCGGGCTGCAGTTCCCGGTGGGCCGTGTCCACAGGCTGCTGAGGAAGGGTAACTATGCTCAGCGTGTTGGTGCCGGCGCCCCGGTGTACCTCGCGGCTGTGCTGGAGTATCTGACGGCTGAGATCCTGGAGCTGGCCGGAAACGCCGCCCGCGACAACAAGAAGACTAGGATCATCCCCCGCCACCTGCAGCTGGCCGTCCGCAACGACGAGGAGCTGAATAAGCTTCTGGGTGGAGTAACGATCGCTCAGGGCGGCGTGCTGCCCAACATCCAGGCCGTGCTGCTGCCCAAGAAGACTGACAAGGCGAAATGAAGCTCCGGGAGAAGCGCGCTGATAATAACGGCTCTTTTAAGGGCCACACACAACATCTGAGAGCAGTACGACCTTAAATGAACTACGGCGGGTCACAGCCCGGACTCACTGGTCTGACCCGCTCTGGGTAAACGTTTCAACCAAAAGCAGCTGTGACACAAACCTGTGTGTAAGTGTTGAAACCACAGTGAGCCAGCGGAGCGTCTGTAGCTAACGATCAACTCCTGTGACGGGTCATAAAGGACGCAGTCACACTGCAAAGGCCAGAAGACCCGCGGCTGTTTGTGTTCACATATTTATCTCTATTCACAATAATGTTATCACATCAGACACACCTGTCTCCATGTTGATCCTGTTGTTTCAATCCTGTGCTGCACCTTTTACACTATGATCTGAAGTTTGCTTTAAGATGAGCTCATGTTTATTAGAGTATAGATTCCATATAAGGGAAGGACAACAGGATAAAGACACGCTGTGGAAGAGAGAACTATTAATAACCAGGATGATTCAGTGCACAGAGGTCTATGAAGACTTAATAGTGAAGAAGAAACACCCACTGCATCATGGGAATGCCCCAGCAGCCTACACCTAGCACCGTGACTGTCTGTGACCTGCAATATTTAGGCTCAGTTAACAGCTACAGGTGTGTTTGCTGTATTCCTGCTCTGCTCTTTAGTTTGGGTAAAGATGCTTTCCTCCTCACTCATGTTCCTTCCACGCATCACTGCATGTACGTGCGCCTCTCCCCACCGCAGAGGAAACTGTACCCACCCTAACATTCAATCATCTCCCAGACTGCACAAGACAGTAGACACCCAGGTTAAGTTTATTCTCCACCTCTCCTATGACTCTCCCCCACCTGCAGAGTGGACTCCTGCAAGGATGGAACAAACTCCCTGTCAGTTGAAGAGCCCCCTAGTTAGGCCGATGCGCCAGAGGCCCCCTGCGCCAGGGCTGAGCCCCCGTGCATCCACCCGCCCACAACCTCGGCGACACACCAACAAGGACCGAAGCCCCCAAGGCCCAGCCAGAGCCCCAGCACGGAGGCGAAGCACCCCCGAACCCCACGCCTGCCCCGGATCCACTCAGGGGCAGCCAGGCCACCAGGCCAGTAACCTACGTCCACCAGTACAGACCATCCTCCAGCCCCGCTGCACGCAGCCACGAGGAGAACAACCTCTAAGAGCGACCAGAGCCACTAACCAGGTTATGAACACAACCCCCGGGTTAAGCCCTCCAGGGATAACGTCTCTAGGGGTCCTCCAGGCGCCCTCCCCCCCCCCCCCCCCACACACCACACACACATAAAACATATTAAGGATTGTACATTAACATAAAACTGTTGTCGAAATTCACCAGAGAAACACACACATGAAGAGAGGGAGAGTATGCATAGTATGCAAACAGCTGCCAAACAGCCATCATAATTCATCACACAATGAGAACAGGACAAATCAACAACTGACAATTAATATTAAAATCTGTAACATATTGTTTGGAGTTTAGTCTGTTACTGTTGCTATTTTTACCATTTCTTCTTGGAGCAACTGTAACCCACATCATTTCCTCAGGGATTAATAAAGTGTTCTGATTGGTTCAGGATGACCTGCCATTATCCAATCACACATCTGCTTACCTGCATCTTTGCTCGTTTCTCCTCCTCTTTCTCTTTTTTCTAAACTGAGCACCTGATGGCTTTGAACTTTTCTTGTCCATCTTCCATTGGTTTTAATTTTGCACTCCAGTATGAACACAAATCCCCCAACGAGGATCAGCACAACATGATCTAACAGACCTACACCTTAGTTCACAGATTCACTTTGTCTAAGGTGTGTTTCTGAGATTTCACACAGGATTCAAATCATGAATACATGATGGGCTTGGATTTACAACATTATGAATGAATGTGCAGAAAAATGCGCTGACATTGCTTTATATCGAGCACCGGCTGCCCAGTTAAACTGTGACTATCACCAGGTAACGTAGGCGTGTTTCTTGAATTAGCAGCAGGTGTTAAACAGCTGACAGATGAGGAGGAGGATGCATGCAGGTAAACTGAGGGTCTGTTGAGCTGATCGCTGGTTTCGTGAGAAAAATGTCAGCTCGTTCTTTATGTTACAGAAGCACAGAGACACAAGACCAGGCGGAAAGAGACGATCGTTCGGTGAAAATGAGAATCTGCGAATGCAACATGTGGAACACGGAGAGTGGAATATGTAAACAAACCGGTTAACGTAACCCCCCCAAACAAACAAACAAACACAAAAACCAGTTCAGCTGGAACACCGGGGCTGTGAGCTCGGTGCACTCTGTCAGCTGACTGTTAGCAGAGCTAGTGACATCTCTGAAAACATCTGAGCACAAACATGTTCTGTTGACAACCTAGACGTGAGATTACACCCGCCCACTTAGTTTGATGGGTGAGGCTGACAGATAAAATGATTTCAAGGAGACATGAAGGGGACAAAAGTGCCAAAATGAATTAAATAAATAAATCATTAAATAATTAATTAAAATGTCAATAATTATTTAAATGTGTTATTAATTAAAAATATGTCAATAATTAATTAATTACATGTGTCATAAATATTTATGTAATTAATTATTTCCAATTTAATTAATTATTGCCACATTTAATTAATAATTTAATGGTGTATTTAATTAATTCATTATGGCAGTCCTGGCCATCATATTAGATCTCAGTGCTGCTTTTGATACAGTAGATCGCAGCCTTCTCTCTCTCCAGACTGGAACAACATTGGAATAAAAGGGATTGTTTTGGAATGGTTTAAATCCTACCTATCTAATTGAACCTTCTCTGTTAAACTCAGAGACTCATTATCCCAAGACCGTGCTTTCTTGTGGGGTCCCCCAGGGCTCTATCCTCGGCCCTTTTTTTAATCTACATGCTTCCGATGGGCTCAATTTAAAAAATATATATCTCGTTTCATTGCTACGCAGATGACTCTCAGATTTACAGACGGAAATCTGTGAATCCTCTGTTTGAAGGGTCTGTTTGATTGTCTGGAAGACGTTAAGGCATGGTTGGCGCTAAATTTTCTCAACCTAAATGAGCAAAAAACTGAATAAAGAATAAAGTTACGTTGAAACCAAGCACACCATTGTTTTTCTTGTGACATTACCAATAAGTTTGATGTGTCACATGGCCCTCTTCCTATTGAAAAACAAAAGTTGTATCCAAGATGGCCGACTTCTAAATGGCCACCATGGTCACCACCCATCTTGAGGAGTTTGCCCCCTCACATATACTAATGTAATCAATTTTAATATCAGCCCAACACAACAGTCGCCTCACACTTATACTAATATGCTACAAACAGGACTTTAATATCACCAACCATCCCCATGTTATTACGGTGTATCCATATAAATGGCCCACCCTGTATGGTTAAGTACAGACTGAATACTAGAGGAAAAACCCAAAACTCTGAATCCCGTCCAGCCAATCATTTTCAGCGACGACTTCATTTTAACAGGGAGAGACCTCCAACAGAGCCGGGCTCAGGAGAGGCGTTCCTCTGCCACATCTGGTCGGGTTTGAGGGGAAAGATAAGAGAACAAAGGGGTCACAGAGAGAACACAGCCATACATGACAAAATACAAACTGGGAGAGAGTAGAAAAAATATTCTATTGAATACTGTCATATAAAAATAAAATGTGTTATTTTCTTTTTTTGGCCAATAGTTTAAGGTGGAGGGCAGTTATTCATGGGGGTTTTAATGCGTACAGTTGCCTTGTGTGCCCCAATCAGCTCATTTATGAAATTTCATCAGTGCTGTGGTGCCCCCTCCAGGGGCAGGACAGACAGATGTCATTATGCACCACTGCACTCTCTGTGGTGTATGTGAACAACATGCTTGCACACGAGTGCATGGAGAGAGACAATCTTTACATGTTTTACCTCTTTAGTAACTTTTGCAACGTTACGGGTTGTATGAACGCTGTGTGTCATGTTAGATAAGCAGCGTAGGTCAGACAGCTATAGGTCAGTACTTCTTTAATTGGAAATAAGAGCTTTTACATGTCAAACACCACACAGAGACTTTCGTGTGTTTCAAAACCATCCCTGACTCTAACGGCTACGGAACAAAATCGTCTGGCATCACATTTATTCAAAACTGTTTTATCCATCTACTGCCATGTCTTTTGACAAGAACATCCACAAAACCATCGAGGTTTATGGCTCTGGCCCTTCTGGCCTGACTGCTTCACACCCCAAATTGATGAGTGGATTGTCACGCACTGGGTTCCTTAGGCTACGTCCACACTAATGCGTTTTCGTCCACACTGAGACGTTTTGGAAACGCTCTTGAAAACACATACATTTCAAAACGGAGCTGTCCGGTTGCAGTGTGGACACTCGAAAACGCAGACGGCATTTTAGTCATGTGATGCAGTCATGTGACAATTAAAAAGACAGCGGAGGGCGTTACACAGCAGTTGTTTTGATTGCTCTCAATTGACAGCCAAAAAAAGATTAATATCAGTTGTACATGCTCCAGATAGCTTTTCTTCAAATTCTTTAATTCTCACTCTTTTGCGCGCAGGACTGGAACGTAAGCGTTTTGGGCCGTTTCAATGTGGACGCACAACTCTGTGAAAACAACTGAAGACGATAATGTGGACACCGAGCGTTTTCAGACGAGAACGCCGTTTTCAAATCTACCCAGGCTAGTGTGGACGTAGCCTTAGAGTAGCTTTGATTAATTTTAGCAGTGAAAAACTGTGCTCACAAGCCGAGGCTGAAAGGTGACAAACAAAACGAGTTAGAGGGGTGGCCAGCTCCCCCCTATGGCCATCCCCCCTTGTTGGGGCCACTGTGTACGACCCCTACAGCATGAGTCCTGGAAAATCATGTTATCTGCGACTCTGTGACAAGTACATTTCCAGTTAATACTTGTACAGCTGCTGTTATTGTGTATATATTTATTTATATTTCTTCATACATTCTTATATAGTTCTATATTGTGTATTTTGTTGTACAGTTATTTTATTTTCAACTTTAATTTATATATTTTATCTTATTCTTTCCCAGTTAAATTTACCCTTCATTCTAATTTGTGTTGTACAGTTATTTCATTTTTAACCTTAATTTATATTTTATTCCTTCCTAGTTAAATTTACCCTTTTTAATTTTTCATATTTATTTCCTATCTTATTCATAGCCTTTTCCTTTTTGTTTTCTTTAGGTCACGAGCAGTTGTCCAAGCATTTCACTACATATCGTACTGTGTATGACTGTGTACGTGACAAATAAAATTTGAATTTGAATTTGAATTTGTAGTTGTTTCAACATCAGTATTTCATCTGCTAAAGTGCATAACCAGTTATTCACTGCTACACCTGTTCTCCAGTCAGCTGCCTCATCTTTACCAGTCCCAGTAATTATAAGGCATAGATGGAAAAAATCTCATAAAATCAAACCAAACTCAGTAATCTAATTTCTGTGTGATGTAAACCTATTCCTCTTAAGCCCATCTCTGCTGCAATTGTTGCCTTTTTTAAATCTAATAAATCATTCGTGCATAACATTTTATCACAGCTCAGAAATGAGACTTTTTCTTCTTCCTTGAGACTCAAACCAGGTGACTGTTGTCACGAAGGAGTCGCAGTGGTTTATAAGGACCATCTGAACTGTCCATTAATCCTGGTTCTTTTAACTCCTTTGAATTATTAATCTATCGACCTCCCAAATCCTGCAAACATTCCCTGAATGAACTCTCTAATCTCCTGTCCTCTCCTCTGTTATGATTCATTTTGATAAAATCATCTTGGTCGGTGACTTTAATTTACATATGGATGATGCCTCTAACTACTCTGCCACAGAATTTCTTAAATTGCAAAAGCATTTAATTTTGTGCAATAGTAAAACTCTTTTGTGCACATGTCTGATCATAAATGTAACATGAATAAACTGGTCCTGGGTGCTAAAGTCTCTCAATGCTGTGGGCTCCGCTGCAAACACAGAAACAGTTTCCTGCAGTTTCCAGTCTAACACTGAACACCAGAATGAAACAGCTGATGTGTGATATTATAGATAACAGTATAATATCACATCAGCGTGTACAGTCAGACTGGATGTAGGGAAGTCTCTCCCAGCGGATCATCTGTGACTCTATATCCGCCCGGTCACCGGCAGCCTGCGTGTGTTTACCGCCACCGAAATCTGCCTCCGTTAGAACCCAACTATCCCCGGCACTGCCGCTGTTTCACCGGGACTCTGTCCCCACGGGTCTTCGCTGACCGGAGCACCGAGATCACATTTCATCCGAACCGCTTTGGGTCACTTTAGGAGCAGAAATGTGGAGAAAGTTCGCTGCGAGCTGCTCCGAGAGGCGGTGTGTCAGAGAGGTTTGAAGCCTCCCGAAATTAACGGAAGAAGTCCCGAAGGGCAAAAACAGGATCAGACGGGAGACCGAAGAGTTTTCTCCCCGCTGCCTCGGAACGGGGGTTTCAAACGTTTATCTGGGGCCGGTTTGAGCTCCGAAACGCGGCGAAGAAAACACAAGAAGAGCCGCGATTGTAGCGGCAGCAGAGCGGAGGGCTGGCTTCACTCTCCATGGTTCTCATGTGCTTGATAAGTCCCGCCTCCCGCGCGAAGCTCCGACATGCTCAGTACGAAGCTCACGCGCAGACATGGCAGAAGAAGCTCCCGCAGCTGCACCGGCGAAAGCCCCGGCCAAGGCTCCCAAGAAGAAGTCCGCTCCCCGGGCTAAGAAGGACGGACCCAGCCTCCCTAAGCTCATCGTCGCCTCGGTGACAGAGTCGAAGGAGCGCAAGGGGACGTCGCTGGCGGCCATAAAGAAATACCTGACCGCCAAAAATGTGGACGTACCCAAGGCCAACAAACGTATCAACACCGCCGTCGCCAAGCTGGTGGAGAAAGGCATTCTCAGTCAGGTGAAGGGCACCGGGGCTTCCGGCTCCTTCAAGCTTGCTAAGAAAGAACCGAAAGTCGCGAAACCAGCGAAGAAGAAGGCTGCCAAGCCCGCGAAGAAGGCTCCCGCCAAAGCCAAGAAGCCCGCGGTGAAGAAAGTGGCCACCCCGAAGAAATCTCCGGCCAAGAAGGCTGCGAAGAAAGTGGTGAAGAAGAGCCCCAAGAAGGCTGCTCCCAAGAAGCCCAAGGCGGCAGCCAAGAAGCCCAAGTCCCCCGCTAAGAAGGCCGCCCCGAAAAAGCCCAAAGCCGCCAAGAAGCCCGCAAAGAAAACTGCGCCAAAGAAGGCCAAGAAGTAAAAGCTGCTCCCGCACAGAGTGCATCAAAGGCTCTTTTCAGAGCCACCACAGCCTCCGCTACGAGCTTGTGTGTGTGTGTGTGTGTGTGTGTGTGTGTGTGTGAGAGTGAGTGTGTGTGTGAGAGAGTGTACTGGTCTCCCAGTTAAGCTCACTGGAGGGGGAAATGCATGTTGAATTGTCAGAACATTAGAAACATGAGTTTCAGTCTTATGTCAATAAATAGAATCTGATAATTGAGCTAGGCAGTGATTCAATGATACTTTGAAACCTGAATTATTTCCCAGTCAGTGCTGCAAATATTTCCAGTTTATTCTGGTGCTGATGACAGGAGCTGAGTGCACTGAAGCTGTGGATGGCTTTGTTTTCTTGGTTTACTGGTTTATTACCTGCTGTTGTTTAGAGTTAAATTTGAATTAGCCCCCCACCCCCATCTCAAAGACCTCTGTGGACTTCACATAAGCACTGTGCAGTAACCCACACTCTGCATATGTAACACTAATGTATTTTTATTTTTCCCGGTTTGTTCGTACATCTTATCTTTTTGAATACTGTTCATATGTGTTCATATGTGTACATGCTGCTGAAGCTGTGCACCCCGCATGTGTGCAGTAGTAGGCGGCGCTGTCTCACTGTACATCTGAATAACAATAAAGAAGTTCTGCTCTGTCTAGCGCTTCATTTTGAACATTTTCGTCCAATAGCTGAGCAGCTGCGGTGCGCGCGCTACCAGATCTGGACCAATCAGCGCTGAGCTCCCGCCTGCAGCCCCTGTATAAAGCCGCTGCTCGCGCCCAGACTTCATTCTCTCTTTCGCTGTTCACGCAGAGGAGCCCGACGCTGTAAGATGGCCAGGACCAAGCAGACTGCCCGTAAATCCACCGGAGGAAAAGCTCCCAGGAAGCAGCTGGCCACCAAGGCTGCCCGTAAGAGCGCCCCGGCCACCGGAGGCGTCAAGAAGCCTCACCGTTATAGGCCCGGTACCGTGGCTCTGCGCGAGATCCGCCGTTACCAGAAATCCACCGAGCTGCTGATCCGCAAGCTGCCCTTCCAGCGCCTGGTCCGCGAGATCGCTCAGGACTTCAAGACCGACCTGCGCTTCCAGAGCTCTGCTGTCATGGCTCTGCAGGAGGCCAGCGAGGCTTACCTGGTCGGACTCTTCGAGGACACCAACCTGTGCGCCATCCACGCCAAAAGGGTCACCATCATGCCCAAAGACATCCAGCTGGCTCGCCGCATCCGCGGAGAGAGCTTAAGCTACACGCTCTCCTACCAACAACGGCTCTTTTCGAGCCATACACGCACTCAGAGCAGCGGTTTACAGCACAGACTCTGTATCACCTGGCCCTCAGCTCAGTGCTGTTTGGAGTCTGCTTCTCACTAACAGAGCATGCAGTGGGGGTTAGTGTTGATTGTACTGTATTAGTACACAGGTGTGTAGCGGGGGGGCGCAATGGTACGATTATGTCAAGGACAGGAAGTGTAGCGGTGCAGGCCCACAGACCGCGTCATTAAACAAGCACAGCTGCGTTTGAGTGGTTACAGGACTGCAGAGTTCATAAGCAGCTGGATGGAGACACTGAGGTTTCAGCTTGGAGGACAAAGTTTCACTGAGCCAGGCTTTAAACCTCATGATCTCCCTAAAAGTGTTTTATATGAACACTGAAGTTTGGGGAGGGGGAGAAGAACCAAAGCTCCAGTTCAATATAAAATAAACTGTCCTGCATGGCAGAGATGTGCAATAAGAACCGAGCCATGGCTCAGTGTCTCGCAGCCTCAATGTGCACTTCAAGTCATTTATAATTAAATGATCATTGTAACCTGTTTGATCTGCTGCTCAGACGTTTTGCTCCAATCATTAAACTGCTGTTAATAAAAGCAGGCCGGGCAAAGAGCTACCAGAACTTTGTCATTTCAGTTGTCACTGCCAATTAGGATGAAAGTGTGGATTAGTGCACTGTCGTTATGGTTTACATCAGGGTAGGCAACTACAGGCCTCGAGGGCCGGTGTCCTGCAGGTTTTAGATGTGTCCATGATCCATCACAGCTAATTTAAAGGGCTAAATGACTCCTCAGCATTTCTTGGAGTTCTCCGGAGGCCTGGTAACGAACTAATCATGTGATTCAGGTGTGTTGACCCAGGGTGCGATCTAAAACCTGCAGGACACCGGCCCTCGAGGCCTGCAGTTGCCCACCCCTGGTTTACACAATCTGTTCATATACGATCAAACTGCAGCTCACAGCTACGGGGGAGCTTTTTAACTCCAGCCATTGGACCATTTCCCACACCCAGAAACAAACTACACGCTTTTCATACTGCCGACACTGTACTCACTTTTAATCAGTTTTTTATTCACCTTTCAGTCACTTTAATTTTAAAACTGTCTATACTGTATATTCTGTGCATTTATTATCTCACTCCTGTTGCCTGTTTATGCCCCGCCCTTATCTTCAGCGTCATGCTGCTCTGGTCTGTCTTGATTGGTCCTGGGGGATAAACAAAGTCTCTGTTTCTGGCAGCTGCGGTGTCCTGGGCTCTGCAGTCCGCTGTGCGGCTCTCGAAGGACCGTCATTATCAGCCGAGCCTCTCCCGGAGCTTCCCTCGGCTGTCTCGGTCTTTGTGTGATGTTGTAACGCACACATGGATCAATGTTTGTCTGCACACGTACTGAAGCAACACATTTAAATCTGCTCTTCCGCACTCCCGATAAATGTCCCACAGCCCCGTCAGCAGGTTAAATAAAGCACTGCTCTTTTTCTTCGTTGTGCGATTTACCCAGTCGACCAAAGGCAGAGCCTCGACCAATGACAGGCGGGGATCTGCACAGCCTTATTTGCATACAGAGGAAATAAAACAGAGCCGCTCTGCGCTGACGGGCACATTCTCTGTTGGGAAGTATCGACGAAGGAAAATGCCTGAACCCGCAAAGTCCGCGCCCAAGAAGGGCTCCAAGAAAGCCGTGACTAAAACCGCCGGCAAGGGCGGCAAGAAGAAGAGAAAGACCAGGAAGGAGAGCTACGCCATCTACGTGTACAAGGTGCTGAAGCAGGTGCACCCCGACACCGGCATCTCCTCCAAGGCCATGAGCATCATGAACTCGTTCGTCAACGACATCTTCGAGCGCATCGCCTCTGAGGCCTCCCGCCTGGCTCACTACAACAAGCGCTCCACCATCACCTCCAGGGAGATCCAGACCGCCGTGCGCCTCCTGCTGCCCGGTGAGCTGGCCAAGCACGCCGTGTCCGAGGGCACCAAGGCCGTGACCAAGTACACCAGCTCCAAGTAAACTGCAGCTCTGCTGCATCCACCCAACGGCTCTTTTCAGAGCCACCCACTTCGTCTAAAGAGCACATGTCCTGCTGTGACGCTCACTGGTCCTGCTATAAACACATGTTTAACACGTGTATTGGGGCACATGTACAACAGTTTCAATAAACCGAGCAGCACTGATCGAGGCTGTTATCTCTGATCATTTATTTATATAATCACTCTTCTCCCGCCTCCCTCGTGCGCACCCGTTTCCTGCAGTGTGACGACATTTCTGGATATTTCAGCTGTGGAAATGACCAGTTTTCATCTCCAGACGTAACGACCCATAATTACAGGTAAGCTACAATATAAGAGGAGATTTCACAGATTGTCCCGCCCGTGACTTTGTGTATTTGGTGGTTTAGAGGTCTGAGCCTGACTTAAAGGGCCGGAAGTTAATGGTAGCTAACTCATATCGCACCTGCAAAAACCCTTTGCAGAGCTTTATTAGTTCTGGTTATAATGTGGGTGTAGTTCATCTGCTTTATATTATGTCACAGCTGTGCCCCTGCACCCGCTCCGTGAAATGGATGGATGGTATTATGACATATGACACTAACGCTAATCAGTTTTCCTCATGGAAAATGAGTAAACAGAGGCTGTATCTAGGGCTGGGTTTTTATAATCGATTTACCGATTAAGATCGATTCATTAAAATCCTGAATCGATTTTTTTAATATAAATTTATTTTGCCCGAAATGCCAGAATCTCTGGTGACATCTCACAAAATTTCAACAACCACCAAACAGCTAAGACAGTAAATGAGAGCAGGAACACGGATTCTGCACAAAGACTTAAACACACAGCGCGACCCGCGGATCAGAATCAGTTAGATGTCGCCTTTCTCACAGTCGGGGCTGAAAGCCGACAGCTCGCTGATTCTGATCTGTCGGCGGGTCCGCGCTTTGTGTTCACGCCCTTTTTGCGCTGATTCTAAAGCTGTTAGTTTGATCTCTCTCCAAACAATATTGACCGAACCAGCAGCAAAAGAAGATCCAAACTACGCTTCACATAAACATCTGTTGTTTCACAACGCGCTGTTTTTTTTTTTTTCATTTTACATACTTCCGAAAAGAAAACCTAATTTCTGCCGTTCAATACTGAACAAATTTAAACTTTTTAAAATTATGCAAAATGCAAAACGCCGTGTCTCTAATAAAACCGCTGTAACTTCAGAGGTGATGTTCATATGTTGATTAATGGTTTTCTTTCGTTTTTGATGTACTGCAGAATATTTTTATAAAATCCCAGAACAGGAAAATCACCTTCATGTTTTTCTGTTTTATCTTCAGCTACTTTGACACAAAGGCCTCTGCTGTGATGCTCACACCTGTGATAAAGTCTTGCGTGTGTCAGCTTCCTTTTTATAGATACAAAAATATGTAAATGTACTGATCTGAATTATAATATTTCTGACTGTCAAAATTTCCCAGATTCAAATCGAATCGATTCGAAATCAGTGATGATACCCAGCCCTGGTTGTATCCCAATCCAGGGTGTGCAGCCTGAAAGGCCGCATTTTAATTACGTAACTGCGACAGACGAAGGCTGTCCCAATTCAAAGGCTGCTCGAAATGCGGCCCTCAAATGCGTCCTTCATTTCCCTGAATTTTAAGGACGTGGCGGTGTAGACTTCGTGGCCCAACATATCCCAGAATGCATAGCGTGGGTGTGGATAATTTTGCTGGAAAAAAACGGCGGATGAGGGGCGCCCGAAGAGTAAACTTTAAGTACTGAATATTATGTCACTTATTTATGTGCAAATGTTTAATAACGAAGAACATTAAACATTCCTGTTGGCCACATGTCGGCAAAGTCATGTGACATTAGTGACGTTTGTACTAACTTGGTTTTAAAGCCTTTACTTTAAAATATACGCCGTTCAATAGCTGAGCTTAATCTTACAGAGAATGATCAAAGCTCATGTAGAAACAAACAAATGAACAAAAGATTTTCTCCTTCATTTCTGTCAAACAAGCTGTGTGAACGTTTCCAGCTGTAGTATCATGGTTGCTAGGCAACCTGGCAGCGCGAACGGAGGCTAGGACCGTCCCATTTCACAAGCCTCGCACTTCCGGCCTTAGCGGTCTTTGAGTACGCGGCCCTTGAGGATCGTTGAGGCTGCAGACCCTGAATTGGGATACAGCCATAATTCATGTCACAGCAGATGAGGACAGACGTCCTCCTTCAGTCAGGAAGTTAACAAGGTGACCGAATGACAGACAGGTGAGGACACCTGAGAGAGTGAGAGGTGGAGTCCCAGCTGGGTCTCCAGGTGTACGAAACTCGTACAGCAATGATGCTAACAGTGAGATCATGATCATGTCTGATTCACAGCACATTAGAGGGCCTGGCCCATCCATCAGCTGCACAAACACGTCGGATCTTCAGTGTAAATTCTGCTGTAATCATTTTATTTTTCCAAAACTAGAGCAGAGGGCTGGTCTGCCACACCTGAGCTCCTTCACACTGCAGGGGGACAAGAAGACAAACCTTCAGCCATGTGGTGAAGCTCACTGACCTATGACCCAGCATACTGTCCCTGTGTCAGTGTTCACTTCAGTCATGGGATACAAGCGGTGGAACAAAGCCCCGCGCAGACCTGTGG